CGTGCGGCAAACGGGTCTCGAATCCTCACTTATGGCCATCGTTCCATGACGCTTAACCTAGGTCTTAGACGCACGTTTCGTTGGCTATTTTTAATAGCCGATGTACAAACTGCTATCCTAGGGGCCGCTTTTCTCACACACTTTGGTCTTCTAGTTGACGTGAAAGGTCGCAGACTGGTGGATCAAGCAACCAATCTGAGCATCGCAAGAAGCAGTCGGTGCAGTCCTTCAGACAATGAAAGATGCAGAATTTCAACCTCTCTCATTCTTTTCAAAACGTCTGCAGCCCGCACAAACCCGTTACAGCACGTTTGGGCGAGAATTATTAACTATATATCTGGCAATACGCCATTTTCGACATCTTTCAGAGGGTCGATATTTCTCAGTTTTGACGGACCATAAACCATTGATCTTCGCTCTCCAAAGTACGTCCGATCGATATTCTCCCCGAGAAAGCCGGCAGCTGGCATATATATCTCAATTTACGACTGACATCCGTTATATTGAATGTAAATCAAATGTAGTTGCTGATGCACTTTCACGTGTGCAGACTGATTCTTTGGGCTTTACGGATTTTCCCTTATCTGAGCTGGCTGTACATTAAAAGAGTGATACTGAACTTGTGCAGTCTTCTTTTCCGTCGCTAAAGTTACAACAACTTCCTATATCCAATTCAACCTAAAGTGCCACGTGCGACGTCTCCACAGGTTCTCCCAGACCATTTATACCTGCTTCGTTCCGTGGGGTGATTTTCAGTCAGTTACATAATTTGCCGCATCCAGGTATCCGAGCTACTCGGAAGCTTATCAGCGATAGGTTCGTGTGGCCTAATATGAATCAGGACATCACTAGGTGGGCTCTTGAATGTATTGCGTGTCAAAAGAGCAAAGTCCATCGACATACTGTTACTCCTCTCGGTCATTTTTCCAGTCCTGATAGTCGGTTCAGCCATGTTCACATAGACCTTGTTGGCCCGTGGCCTCCGTCACACAATTTTTCGTATGTTTTCACATGCATTGATCGTTTTACACGCTGGCCTATCGCCGTGCCGATCAAAGACACGCACTCCGAAACCGTGGCTCAAACTTTTCTCGAGTTATGGATTGCCCATTACGGAGTACCAGCGAAGCTGCACAATTACATATCTTAGTAGCGTTCCTTGTCGAGCGTTTATTTTGTTTATGCAACGCTCTAGGGGGGAGTTCTATGGTGATCCTGTAGCGACCCAGTCACCCACATACTTGACTGTACAAGTCACAGTCGCTCACTGGATCGCGAGGGTTGTCTTTTTTCTCATACGCACAAACACGTCGCATTAAGCTGACTCATCGGACGTCGATTGTCTGCACCGTCTAGTGAGCGTAGCAACCACTCATGTGCCGACGCGCCCACGTATACGCACTGGGACATACATAAAGGGAAACCGAACCCAGTCAGGATACAGACTCGCGCGCGCGCAAGCAGCAGGACGTCAACCTCTCCACAAGTCCACGGACAACCATGGAGTATGTGTAGCAGTCGAACTGCGGAGAAAACACGTTCTCACCATTCGGACTTCAACCAAGGGACTCTCATATACGATAAGTTCCCTTTTTGACTTGCTCCCATTTCGCATTGTATTCATTTTTATACGTGTCGCAACCATGTTAAAAACTTCTATTAGTGCACATTCACCTTCTGATTTGTATTATGGCTATCGCCACCTGTGCACTAATAATCCTTCTGACCATTGTACATTAGTACTTTCTTCGTAACTTAGCATTACTCAAATTGTACCACTTTCTATCTCTCACTAAATCTCAGCTTATTCCTCTTCTCTTCATACCGAATAACTTTTGTTTAAATGAAAGCAAAGAGATATGGATGCACACACACAATAGAAATTCTGTACTTCGTGAAAGGCGTGTTCCCTTCTTGCTGTGTCGAGTTACGCTGTCAGTGACTTAACAAGCGGTGATCTACCTTTCAGACTACGACGGGCTAGAAAGTATCTAGGATTATATCAAGGAAGATTCCAGGAAGGAGATCGATTTGGATTTATTGTGGTGGTAATAACTAACTGTACCAAAGAACTGTGAGTTGTATCATCTCGCCTATTTTTTCTCACTTGATTTCACTACTTTGAACTGGTATTTGCTAGCGTTATCCACTACAAGTGTACTGATGAAGTGCGTACTTGTACAAACACACTCAAAGTCAAAATGCACCTGAAATGCCATGATCTTTATTAGTTCTACTGCCAATAGTACATCTATGCATCGAAATTACTCTATGAACGTTGTCGATAATGTAATCTGGGTTCGAGATGAGCGGGGGCATCATTTTAACCTCAATTTCACTGAGCTCACAAACGAGCGAGTTCAGATTGCCGGTGATCTAGACAGGTCAGAAACCAATTGTTGAACACCAATCGCGTATCAATCCGATCCATTGCATCCAGCAATGAGTCCGATAGCGTGTCGCTATGACACGCTGTCACTCTGTTGAAATCTGTTTTAGACATAGGTGTTTGCAGACAAAGCATAATATTTGAGGTTCAGTATAGTCACTTACGACTGCGCCCACAGAAGAGCCCGAAAGCGGTTTTTACTTACTTGTGGAGAATACAAAGTTGCTCAAAAATTGCTTCGTTGTGTACACTATTTTGCGCAATTACCGTCTGATCTTATCAACATGACGACATAACGGAATTCGGGGAGCATTTCCACACTGATCAAGCTAGCAAGACGCCGTACCGGCCTAGAAGGCAAGCCCTGGACGTATTTGAGACTTTCTGCGTACATTTATTTGATAGGAATAATACTATTACAGTAGCGAGTACGCTGAATGACTTAACTGAGTGATGGATTAGTTTGAACATTTGGCTCAAAGTCTGTTCCTCGAATGCCAAATGCCTTCACCTCAACAGTTACCTGTAGGTATGCCAGTACAATAAAACCGAACAGTTGCATGATCTCTTCCTGTGTTCATTGAGACCGCTTGTTCGACCGATATCCTCTCCTTATGTTGTTGATTTGCGAATAACCTGGGGAGAATCACTCAGGTTTGCCCCAGTATTCATCAACATTCAAAACTTGATTCCGTCCTTGTCAGACTTCTTGGGGAGGATTCGTTTGCCATTCCACAGAGGCGTTAGCTGCTCATCACACGCGCGCAACCGAATCATATTACTTGCATTTCTCTTCACTTTGCACTCAAGGTGTCATTCTACACGGATCAGGTTCTATGACTCTCCTCATATCCAGTTATTTTGTCTTCAAAATTTAAACCTATTTTGAATTCTTAAAGGTGAATTCATGTCATTTTGTGCTCGAATGATGTCGTTCCTTATATACTTTACCGTAGAAATCCCAGTTGATGGCGGTGCATATTTTGAACTGCTGAGCTTCTTCCATTTCCATGAGAAAAACAGTTCACAAGGCTGCTGAAAACTGTTTGACATCCCTCTTTGAGCCATTCTTGGGACTCATTAGGTAGGCACATTCCCCGAGCGTCCGTCAACGTCATGTCCCACTTGATCACAAATTGTACAGATTTCAAAAAGTACTCTGATGTGCATATCAGTTCGGTTATCACGGGATGCTCAGATGAGTCTCTCGGTTGTGATATTCTTCAGTTCGCTCACTGCGATTTGCAGTTCACAAGCAGTACAATAATCGCTGAAAAATTAAAACTGTCCTGTTCTGAAGTTCCACCAACAGATCCGACAATCAGCGTACCGGTTGATAATACCAGGTTGTACTACGTGTATACTGCCGTTCGTCCGGAGGCCCTCGATTGCTGTCCACAGATCGTTGCCAGTCCCCTGAACATTTGGGAAAGTTTATGACCAAAGATACAGAATTGAGAAATTTATCGCACGCGATCCAAATGCTTCCTACGTTGTGGTCTTAAGCTCATGACGTGGTTGAAACAGAACAGCAAAACTCCTTAAGAAAAATCATCACGGGATACAGGACCTTTCAACCCCTTCCTGATGAAAACCTCTGTTCGGAAAGGTCCTTTTGACGGACTTCTATTTCGCATGCTAAAAGCGACAGCCGCCGTACACCAAGTTGAAAATTCGTTCATTCCTTGATGACCGATGATTACCACTTATTCACCCGGATTTTTCGATAAGTGGATTTTCTATAATTAATAGGGCAGAAGCGACTTTTGGTCATCGTTAACCCGATAGATAGTGGAAAACAAGTAATCAAGCTATTGCCTTCTAGTTTTCGTACAGCACAATGGACTGAATGACTTCGGGTGGTCAAGAAACGAAAGCTTGTGGGGGCACATTTGGATATCTCGGAATTTCGGAATTACGCCAGGATGAGACTGAACCCTACCGTAGTGTGAAGGTTTGTGTGCCTCTGTGACCCATATTAGGAGTGTCCTTGCGACACTCACAGAATCATTCATACCAGGTTGGTCAATGATTAGAGGTCTGACCAAAACAGTCCCCTGGTTCTCCATGTTGAAGGTTGGAACATGTGTGCTGGCTTGTTCATTAAAAATGGTAATGTGTCTGCATTTCTTACCAAGCAGTGCTGCCTTGCGGTCAGGCCCTTTGACCTCCAGTCCAGGTAGGACTCCTCGACAGTATCCTAGCCTGCGTGCAACCATGAATTGCGGACTTGTACAAAAGCAAATTATCATTGTTGAATACTGGTGTTATGCTGTGGATAACGATGTTGATGGTGGAGATTAGTCGGCCGTTTTAATGTTCGTTCATTAAGCAAAATCATGGAAGACACGAGTACTGATATACTTATAGGCGATGGATGGCTCAACCGGGGGTCAGAATTTGTCCGATCTCCAGCTTCTTCTGCCTTTATCTGTCAACCCAAAGCCAGTCCTACCTGTGGTATCATAAGTATTTATACATCGGATGAGAAAAAGTCATTGGTTCCATGAATTTCCCTCATGAGCACGTGACGAGAGACTCTAATCGTTGGCTGCGAAAAGAATCTGAAAGAAAAATTAACAGTTTATTTTCATAAAGGAAACTACTCACAAGGTTGCTGAAAACTCTTCGACAGCCCACGACCGGTTTCGCCCTTCTTGGGGCTCATCAAATAGGTGCAGTCCCTGAGTTTCCGTCAACCTTATGTTCGATTTGAACCTAAATTGGGCTGTTTTCGAGAATATCGTGCCAACCGAATGAAGAGGCGGCCTGTGTGCAGCACATTCACTAGTAGATTATCATAGACGAGAGATTCAGTTGAGTCTCTCGTGGAAACCAAATTGATTTGCATATGAGTGTATTTCTCGAAAAATTAACAGTCTTATGTATCGGAGATATAGAAAAATTTAATGTATACCTCACAGCAATGTAAAAGGATCACAGTTGATACGACATCACTTCGAATTTTTAGTTTGGACAAGATGGAAATATGGCTAACGTAACGGATGAGAGTGGGGATCAGTTTCGTTCATCTGACTCCAGCCGACCTTACTGGGTATGGAGCAGCAGAATTACGCTGGTATTCTCCGCATAGTTTCACTAACAAAACAGGTTTTGTTGCTCAAAGCAAACGGGTCAACCGTAAACAAATATAGGCCAATCAAACTGCCCAACAGCCATCGATCGTAATGCGCGTACATCGGTGCCAATCGTATGAAAGCCGATGCTCGCGATAGTGTCGCATGGTTGGCTGTTGTCAGGCAGCGTACTAAGACCATAATATTTTGAAACATATCCAAGATTCTATGGACTATATTGCTTGGTTTGAAATGGTCTGTGATGTCCTGTGTGCCACACTGGGATGGATGCATACCGGCTGTCGGATAATACACACTTCCTTCCCCTAACTTTTCGTCTTGACCAGGAAAAATATAACGAAGAAACTCATGTACGTCGCTTCCTCAAGAATTAGGTTGCCTCGAGGTCAGTCGGCGCACTTTAGTCGAAGACTTGCAGTCAGTTTCGGTGCTTTCCTTCTAACCGTTGCACTTTTGGTAAGTTCGTCGGTTGATTTGTACGCTCTGTAGAATATTCATTAAGCTAGCACCATCATCATTCATTACTTAGTATTCATACTTTGAATGTTATTATCCCTTTCGGAGGTAAACCCACTGGGGTTATGGATTACGAGGACTGTGATAGCCTGGCCACTATCGATGATGGTTGTCACAATCCAAGTGTACATCCGATGAGACTGTATGTGACCGATAAAAAAATTCGTTTTTTTAAGCGGATGACTGTATTGTCAGCTTAGTTTACTCACTAGGCAGCACCATGCTTGGCAAGTACTGAAATTGTCAATTTGTCTACCACTTCACCGAGGTTTGTCCACCTCTGCCGAAGACAGGAAAAGCCAGGGGTCAATGAGCGAGCTTAACAAGCGCAATTAATTCCAGGTTATCGTTGCGGGTAAGGAGGCTGTCTGAGGTAACTACGTTGATTTGATTTCTTGCGAATTCGTTGAGGCACGCAAAATGGGATATATATATATATATATATATATATATATATATATATATATATATATATATATATATATATATATATATATATATATATATATATATATATATATATATATATATATATATATATATATATATATATATATATATAAATGTCTTCTAACAATGGAACCGGACAAACTGACCACCACTCAATCGGTTATCTTTTTCGTGTTACGCCTTAAGGCAACAGGAAAACGATCTCGTTTCTTCAGTTTGGGAAATGAGTAGACTTCCCGTCCAAAATTTCCACCTTATTACCAGAAGCCGATTTTCCCACGGAGAGAAGTGAAATCATTCTGATTTGTCTGCTACATGAGAACCAATCAAACTCACCTGTCCGACATAAATTGTCTCTCTCGTTTGTGTGCGCGCGCGCCCGTTTGCAGTGAAACGACACAATTACTTCCATCGACTTTGAAATACACACTGGGAAGAGTCTTACAGTGAGTCCATTAGTTAGGTGAGTACTGGTTTACCTTTTGCTTTTTTCGCCACAAATCCATGCGGTTCTTGGTGAGTTTTGAGCAGAACGCATCTGTATAGTTATCCAGGTGACTGAAGTAATACAAAAACCGCTTTGTTTTGATTCAGAACATGTACTCTGAATGTCAATATACAATAAAATTGTTTATCTTTACGTGTATAGTTTTGTTAGGTGGACGACCACAAATAATCCAGCTTCGAAGCAATAATTTTGGTATTGATTCTCATTTGTTTTTAAAAAATTTCACTTGTAGTTTCTTGATGTATAACGCCTCAAAGCCACCCGAAGGAATCAAGAGGACTTGGAGATCTTGGCGGGTTGCTTAAGCCTAGACAGAAACCGTCGAGATACCAAGGTTGGGTTCAGCAAATTCGTGCTCTAACGATTGAGTTATCTGGAGCTATTTGATCCAGTGGGTGAATAGGCAATATCCGGACATATGGGAAAAGGCGTCAAAAGGAGTGAAGTTCTCACCAATTTGATATCGTCTCCTGTGAAGTTTTTCCACCTTCCACGAAGAAACCCCTCAAACGGACCGGTGACCTTTGCAGGATGGATTTCGGGGAAGCCTGTCTCTCCTCAGACTCAACCTAAAAAGTTAGAAAATTGATCCAAGTGAGAACAGAAGCTTTGTAGTGAATACCAAAGATTTTACACATGGGAAGCAATCGAATGGTGAAACTGTGTGTCACTCAGGTTGCTTTGTACACGTCAGGTCTCCTTTCTTCGACGGTGTGCTAAACTGATTAAAAAAAAACACGTGCAGATACAATGTGATGTGAGTCATACGAAAATATGCCAGCCCAGGTGCTGTGTACCTCAAAGACCACGAGGGCACAGATACTGTCAGGTTACCCTAGCCTAAACAGGAGCAGTCGAAAAGCGGGGATTGGCTTCGAACCATGGATATTCCAGTCAATAGTTTTACAATGGTAAGCTCGAGATTCATGTAACGATAGAAGTTTGTTCTACGCATATTATTCTACTGTCAGTTGGTGGGCGTTTCTCAGGAATAGCCAGTAGCGTTCGTCGCACACTGAAGTAGAACCCCTTCGACATACCGTCACTCTTCGTTTTCATTTCAACAACCTTGTGAGTAGTCTCCTTTGTGAAAATATACTGTGATATCTCGAATATCGTGCCAACTGAAACATGAGGGGTGTGCAGCACATTGATTTGCAAACGAGTGTATTTCTCGGATGCTGTAGGGTTGTTTGAAAAACTACTGAGATGATATAAAAATCACTTGTGCACGTAAGAGAGGTTCAATTGAAACTCCAGAGAATCAATTGCCTTTTGTTCCTGACATCGAACCATCCTCTAGATCCAGAGGAACTGATGTTCAAGATATTGGGGTACGTCTTTTTTCATTAGAACTACTTCGCCAGTGGTCAGTTTCAGCTGAACCTGTGACAGGTTGTGAACATTCAGGTTGTATTGTCAAACTAAATAGTAGATTGTCAAGAACTAGAAGAGAATTTGGCATATCTTGAGATCAGAAGTCTAAGTAAATGTGGCATGAACCAAAAGTATACATGGGCACAATCCAGTTGTGAACATTGAATTTCGGACATTCTCCAGTTGTTCGGCTGACTAGCAAAAGTCATCCCAATAGGATGGTCTAAATGGATTTTCTTGAAGTGAGACAGCGAGTACAGTCACCGAAGGGCGTGGCCTTCTTGTGTATGTATGGAAACACTCTTAGTTGCAAGGTTCGATTTAGATAGTAACAAAAATAGTTTGCGCGTGAGGAGGATATAGAAAATAGACCACTGTTTCCTGGAAACCGGTCTACGTAATTCCCTTATCTGATCATCAGAATTGTTCGTTAGTTCATTGGTACGTGGAGCGGTTTGGCATATCTTTCGTCTCAGTGCAAACCAGGACTCGTATGCGGGATTGCAATCTAAACCGTACGGCATGAAAAATCTTGGTGTCCAATTTCATTTAGACAACGAAAAAGGTACTGGCGGGCACGAGAACGTAGATAGTTTATTTCACAATATGTTGTCTTTCGCCAATCTGCTGAAATCTTAGCTCTATGAGATTGCATCTTCCACAACCTGAGGATGCGAAGCTGAACCGTTTCGTTGACAGAGGTTTTCCACACAAGCTTATCTTTTGACGAAGACACTGATAGCTAGAGTTAGTCCTCTAACCGTTCATTGGATGCAGCGTGCGACTTACCGGAATAATTACGCAGAACAGGACACAACCTGAGGATGCGAAGCTGAACCGTTTCGTTGACAGAGGTTTTCCACACAAGCTTATCTTTTGACGAAGACACTGATAGCTAGAGTTAGTCCTCTAACCGTTCATTGGATGCAGCGTGCGACTTACCGGAATAATTACGCCAGAACAGGAACACGGCCGTTCAAACGAGAGTGGTGTGGCTATGAACAAACATACCTATCCCGCCAAACCCCAAAATTAATTAACATCGTCTTGTTGTGTTTACTTCATGGTAAGCCGGTCGCCCTGGTCAAGTATTTTGTGGTACTTTTCAGGTTTGTGCGCTGAGCGGGTTCGTGTGCAACTGTTGAGGGGCAGCTTCAAGGACACCAAACATTTTAACGTTTTTCACACATGATTGATGAGATGGTAAACCTCGGATCTATTTCCAAACTAATAACTGTCATAGTTGATAGTAGGCCGAGCGTCGGTTTGCATAAGTGAGCGTACATGGAACGCACCCTCATAGAAATTAAGGCATCCAGTGTCTTTTCTTGACGTGTTACACTACACATTATTTATAAGGTTGCTGAAAACTCTTCGACATCCTAAAACCAGTTTCGCCCTTCTTAGAACTCATCAGGCAGACGTAGTCTCCCGTATTCAAGTGACATTTCACTAAACGTAGACTAGCCACCTTGAAGTCATCGAATCATCAATGGGCTTTCCGTGTTGCGTTGACTGGCATCGTCACTAGTGTGCGCTATCAAAAGTCTGAAAATATATCTCGCGGTGATGTTTACACGTAGATCAAATCTGTCACCACTAATTCCCGACTGCGGTCTGATTGGACGGTTATTGAGTTACCTCCTTACGGAGCAAGCGCTAACTCCGCTCATGTGGGTAGTACTTGCACCCAGTTTAAGCCTCTCAGAACTCCAACGTGAAGCACTTCGGGGGGACCCAAATCCAGCTAGTCTCTATTCTCAGCAGGGTAAACCCCATTTGGTATTCTGACATCGCTTTTAAGAGCATATGAGAGAAACTAGTGAAGTATTTTACTGAAGATAAAGTGGAACCATGTTTCCAAACAAACTTAACAGGACCTATGTAAGACCAACCAGCCTATCAAACTCCAATGTCAGCCTTGAACTCCAGAATTCATTCCCACCAAGCTAAGCGATTTGGCGTCGCAGCTGAACTCGATGGATTTTTCGAGCAACTAACAGACTTTATTTCGACTTCTCCCGAAGCTAAAATTTGATTATAAGCCAAGATTTCACCAAAGTTTAGCCCCGATTGTATTACAAAAGTTTTCCTGACAAAAGCTCATAGCGACACAATGCAACAGCCATGGGACACTTTCGACAATATTGTCCTGAAGGAAGATGAATGGCCTTTCTAAACAAACCATATTAAACCAAAAATTAGTAGGTCAGATACAAAGTCCAAAGTGAAAAAGCAACACCAGAATTGGTGAGCATAAAAGAAGGATTAACAAACTACCAAGGAATGCAGAAGAATACCAAACGCTGGTCAAAGACTCAGCGATGGCGGTACATGCCTTAGACACGGGACATAGAATAGATCTGGAGAATGGGGAAGTTTTAAGACGGGGACTGCGAGTCACACAACAGCGGCTGATAGCCGAGGTGGTGGAAATTGCTAAGCATCACAGCGTGAATAGAATCGAGGGTGTGGAGCTAGCGAGCGTACGGAAAGCGATCTTAGATAAGCCGAGTTGACACGTGACGGTGTGGTTGTCAATCCACTTAGGATCATTAGAAAAAACCGGGGGGTAGGGGTGGAAACCCCAACCGACCAAAGGTCACAGCATCCCTCCTACACAACTTTCTTAGCACTAGCTCACCCACACAGACTAACAGAAGGTTCAAACGAAGTTCAAGAGGAACCATCAAATGAACCGAACCAGAAGAACTAGACCCTAGGCAGGACCCAAACACATGTAGGTTTCCCCACCGACCCAACACTTGTTCAACCACTCTAACACACTAAAATCCCTCGGCCGACACCCAACAGAGATTTAGCTTGACTTAGCTGATTGGTTCTCCTTCCGCCTTAAATCTCGATCAACCTCGGAACCTAGTCACTTGGACTGACGAAGCTTTTGTGTCAAAAGCGAAACGTTGCCCAGTAATAAATCTACCGATTGCTACCAAACGATGACTACCCAATCGGTTTCAAGTATTTTCCAAGATGATGTCTTATTCGTAGGAAGGCAAAGTTGCAAATATGAAAACTTCACAGTTTCATGGCAGGATCAAAATACCGCTCTCTGAGTCCGTAAGGTTCACAAAGGATTGAAATTTACAGTCCACGGAAGACTCAGACATCGGATAGCACCCACTGTTTTCTTGTTCACTTGTGTGTCTTCCTTACATGGCTGAACATATCACAGATTAGTATGATTGTTGATGGGCATACCAAAGCTCAGAAAAGCAGGGTTGGAAACCCATAGTTTGAGAAAAAAAGATTACTTGTAGGGGGTTATGAGATAAGTAGAGTTCGCTTTCACATCACTCTGGTTTGAACGACCCTCTCTCTGCCTTAGGAGAATTATTCTTGTGAGTCCACGCCGAAGAGGGAGCTCTGAAATCGAGTTACACGCTCATTAAAGCTCATCGGCAGTATATATCCTTGGCCGTGGCGGGGTTCGAACTCCGGACGTTTGGCATGCGAAACGAGCTTGTTGCCACTACTTCACTAGCATATGCTGTATGCACCTGAATCGTCACGTATGAACAGATCGCGGTGTTCATGTTTGGGCGGAGCGATCGGTGTGGCCGGTGCTCCGAACTCGAGCGATATTCTTCAGTCGCGTTTGCGTTTTGTTTGAGGTGCATGGTCTTGCTTTTTTCTTCGGAAGGCAAAAGTGTGTCATATTCCGAGTGAAACTTAGTCTTCTGTTTTGTTGACAAGATCCATGAGGAAGCCCTCTTTCCTCCCGGTCCATTACTAAGTGGCCCCGATGGCTTGTTCTTGAGTTGTTTTTGTTCTCAATCATTCATTATGACAGTTGAATTCTTGTCTAATCAGACAATATTGATCACGTTCAGGCAAATTGGCTGAAGATAATTGGAATAGATAATGAGCACCATTAGCATAAGTTGCTCTCATGTGATTGTTCTGCCGTATAGGTGGCTACCTGTGCAATTGATCCGACAGTGAAAGCACTCCCAAAAATGTCGGTGGAACGGAGTTTCTCATTGGACGGGTTTGTCTAGAGGGGAATAGCTATATACCTCTACGCAAATGGTCGTTCGTTTAGGGACCACCCTTTCGCAAGTACCCAAAGAGAAGGAGAGAGAAACGCACCTTACGAATAGTTGTTTCATTCGCAACTACCATACTGCTAATAGGTACACAACTTATGGGTATCCTTCACTGAAAAATTGCCCTTCTTTTAGGGGACACTGAAGTCAGTCATTTTAGGGTGAGCTGGCCACATGAAGTGGAACCAATAATAATTTACTGACCCAGGTGTCGGTTACGTTATCACCATCGAGCTTTCTCAAACAGTCGCGGGATTAATTTCGCACTTTTAACGCACAGCAGTATAGATGCCAGATGCTTGCATTGTCTGCTAAGCTTTGCAATGTCGTTGGGAATAAATTGCCAGACACGGTTAACGATGTGATTGCTGACTACGTAATATGATTTACTGCTATCCGTTGTTGAATCCAAGTTTACCTTATGGCAATTCCCCCATTCATTCGCTTACTCCGTCCGTGTACTTTTGATCTCCAGCTGCTTTGCGTATCCGTACCCGCCACTCACCTTGTCGCAGAGGCCACCCTTTCCCACCCTCATGCATTGACATGTGTGTCTGTGTGTGAATGTGCGCTGCTGACCTACTTACCCGTTCGCGTCCGTGTCCCGTTTACTGAGCCTGTCTTGACTTGCTTTCTTATCGGTTCCGTGTGATCGCACGTGCAGTGAGCATCACGAGACCGTCGTCGAAAAGGGCAATCGCAGCCCACGCTACCGAGCCATCATTCCGCTCGCCGTTGTTTGGTGTGCGAACGTTGACACTGCACTGTTCCGGTCGGTGACAGACCTGAACGCTACGATCGTGAACAATTGAGTACCGCAGAATTACGAACCCAATTCTTCCTTTTGATATTCGGGATTGTCGAACCAACGCGTCACCCAAAGTTCCGTATCGGGAACCTCAGCATCCGTTAACTCGGGGATTAGATAGTTTTGAGTTCTTCCTATTCGCCAGTGTTTATTCACCGTCTTTGTCAAGTGGGGGAACTTCGGGAAATGTTTAATTAGGACTGCAGTGACTATCAAAATACATCAGTTTACAGAAAAAGAAATAAAACGGCACGGGGAACGAACCAACGAATGAACCGATCAGGTCCATCATTCAACTTCCGAACAAGCTAGTGACTCATTTCGAGAGGTGTTGTATATTTGGACACGATCGATTTCGGTTAGTCGGCACTAGCTTAGTAAACATAGCCAAATTTCGGATTGACATGCCGGAGTAAAATGCTGACCGCTGTTCTGGAGCCAACCCGGTGGCCGGCTATCAACTTACTTCCTCTCGAGAAATTGAAGTGTTTGGAAAATGGCACAGTAACTGGTGGCCAACGTACACTTTGAAAATGGGATGAATCCATTCCTATGATCTATCTAGATTGGAGAGGTGTTAATTATCCGTGCGACAGGTGCTTAGTTGTAGAAGGAAACATGGTGCGGGTTTTGGTGGCGTTCTATGTATCTGTCAAAGGTTTGTTTAACTGGCGTCGAACTGGTAATGTTTTCAAATTGCACCATAATGGCATCTAACTACTTCAGCAGCGAGATGTCTTCTGAAATAGAGTCACAACTAGTGTGTTTGTTCGCGGTATATGGATTTTGGTGTTGAAAAAGCGAGGCGATTGTTTCGTCGACAGTGCTGCAATCCTGTAGCTGATTTAGGCTAGAGGTAAAGTTAATGTCTCTAGGCCTCTACTTCGAATAAACTCAGCCGACACTATTCAATGTCGACTTCATGCACTGCTACTGGATATAACTTGACCCCCCCCCTCCTGGAAACATCACAAACGAGAGATTCAGCTGGGTTTCAGGTGAATCTCTCGCAAAACCAAATTTGTTTACAACCAACTGTATTTCGCTAATTCCGTGCAATTTGGTCTTAAGTCAAACATAGTGCTGGCGGAAACTCGGGGACTGCGCCTACTTGATGAGTCCCGAAAAGGGCGAAACCGGTCGTGGGCTTTCGAAGAATTTTCAACAACCTTATGAGTAGTGCATTATGCCATTTCATTCTTTTACCACCTTAACATTAGTAGTGTTAATGAATAGGTCTCAGTAACAGTTAACCGGAGCTGCACTGGGGAAGTCACTGTATTACACTGAAACATAAAGGAACCGATGAGTGACGCATGCAAATGGATGCTAAGTGGACAACTTTTGCTGGCGCTCATTGTTAGTCCATCATATTAAGGCTGGCTTGCCAAGGCCCTCCGAACATTTGTCGCCGATCTCATCCTGTTAAATCTAGATTGACGCCTACAGCTTATGTGCACCGCATCGATAACAGATAGATGGATGCTTTGGGTCATTAATCATCTGAGCGCTCAGATCTGTCAGGGTATTGTCACAACGCGCATGCACCAGTAATTTGCAAAATGCACAATTAACTACGGTAGTGTCTCGACTTATAAATACTTATAAATACTTATAAATACATACATAATTGTTTGCTGGACTGAGCAGTCTGGTGTCTTTTGAGGCAATAGCGAAATCACTCTGAAGGTGATAATCGTCTTGATAAGTATTTCCAGTCTTATCACGCTTGTCTGGAGCCCAGGACGGTTGTGCGGGGTGCAAATATGAGCGAGTGGCTTAGAAAAATGCCTGCTCACCAAGTCAGAACAGTGTAGTTTCGAAAATCCCACATCAGAAATATTATGCATATGCGCATATCTTATCTGCTCACAGGCCCTCACACTCAAGTGGTACCTTCCAAGTCCCCTGGATATCATCAAGACTCCAGTATTTCCAAAGATTGACCGAAACCCAAAACCGTATACAATTCACCTTGTTCATGTGATCAAAGGAGAGGCTACACTGGCTCGATCTATTACGTTGTTGAAGAGTGTGTTCTACTACCGGGGCATACTCAGATCAAATTCACCGGAATGCTATCTTCGGAGAATCCCATCGCCACATCTGTGTGCCAAACAACGCGTGATAGAACAAGCGTCCATTCACCTACATCTCATAGTTGAACAAAAACTTTTATCCGCGACACATTCCTGCGTCAACCAATGGAGGGTGGCCCAGTTCAACTGGAGTGTTTACGATTTGGATCTCTACTTGGTAAGTACCCTGAACGAACTTCGAACAACACACGTAGTCCCGATTCTGACTTGAATCAAGTCAAGTCAACAGCATAATGTTACCAGAACGCTATGAATCAACTTTTAAGTGTAGTGAGCAAAAGGACGAGAAATTAAAGTGAATGTCCGAATGGAGCGAATTTTCAGCAGCAGTTTACTGCTACCAACAATGAATGCTCCACCATAATTACTATTGAGTAAACAATCCAAAAGCACAGGAATCTGGCTCCCTTGGTGACCTCATAATACTAGAGCACTTACAGAGCTTTAGACAATCAATAATGGGGCCAAAAGTGCACATCGTCTTGTTTACTCTTCAAATTTCAGTGCACCTTGCCACAATACGCTGAAAGTCCTAAATTTTAACCTCGAGGTTGCCGTACTCAAAATATTTTCAGGTAGACTGTACGCTAAAATGATGTGGGGGTAGCGCAATCGAGTCACGTGTATGTGCATCCGTATACTCACACCACGTTCCAGGGACCAGCGATTGTTTCTTCTGGCCTTTGTACGGCAGCCGATCTGATGCGGTGAAAAGTGCTGTAGGACGCCAAGTTCATTTTATCTTTTGATGAACCCGCATGGAATTCTGCAGTACCAGAAGTGGCACACAATATTCGCCAAAAAATCGTGGACCTTTCTGTCAAGTTACAGCTCTAAGGGCGTACACATGCACATTGATAAGCCGGTGACTTAAATTTTCCTACACGGAAGACGATTTCAATCTTGCACCAAGAAAATCTGGCGTTGAGGATCTTAAAGGCAGAAATTATATAGAATCGGTATTTATTGGAAAGTTCTGAATTCGGATTAAACCTTGCAAGTAAATTTTTATCTTCCAGAAAAGGAAGAAACATTCGGAATCATCAGCGGTTTGCACATCAAAAAGACCATAAAGGCAGTGATCAGCACCACATCAAATGATGTGATCCGCGTGATTTCTTGAGTAAAAAGTCGTCTAAAAACAGTCAACATGGCACACCTTTTGACCGCTATATACTATACTATACTATACTATACTATACTATACTATACTATACTATACTATACTATACTATACTATACTATACTATACTATACTATACTATACTATACTATACTATACTATACTATACTATACTATACTATACTATACTATACTATACTATACTATACTATACTATACTATACTATACTATACTATACTATACTATACTATACTATACTATACTATACTATACTATACTATACTATACTATACTATACTATACTATACTATACTATACTATACTATACTATACTATACTATACTATACTATACTATACTATACTATACTATACTATACTATACTATACTATACTATACTATACTATACTATACTATACTATACTATACTATACTATACTATACTATACTATACTATACTATACTATACTATACTATACTATACTATACTATACTATACTATACTATACTATACTATACTATACTATACTATACTATACTATACTATACTATACTATACTATACTATACTATACTATACTATACTATACTATACTATACTATACTATACTATACTATACTATACTATACTATACTATACTATACTATACTATACTATACTATACTATACTATACTATACTATACTATACTATACTATACTATACTATACTATACTATACTATACTATACTATACTATACTATACTATACTATACTATACTATACTATACTATACTATACTATACTATACTATACTATACTATACTATACTATACTATACTATACTATACTATACTATACTATACTATACTATACTATACTATACTAGATATCCAAACTGATTGGTGAGAGTCGTTGAATTGTTGCATAATTGCAGGCCAAACATGCAGTTAAGGAGAAACAATAACGGTTTGTTCTAGAAAGAGTTTACCTGTTGCTTTGCTGATCACTGTCGACCTCCTACAAGTTAATTCATTTGCGACTGCGAGCAAACTACTGACTAGGGATGAGATCAGCTTGTCCGGAATATCGAGTCCCTCAAAATTAGGCAATTTCGCGAGATTCGCGATCTAGATTGGAGACAATCTATCCTGCAAACGCGAGAAACACTGCACAGCTGTTTTATCCTTATTGGGAAATCATCAACAATGCGCGTCTCACGAAGCGCGGAGAGCCTCCGACCCGCATCATTTCAGCTAGTGGTTCAATACTTAACCGTTCGGTTCTGAGGGACTGAACAGTAGTGTGGTTACCGCTCATCCTTCGATCACGGAAACCACATTAAATGGCAACGATTGGCTGGTTCCTCGAAATCTTCCTCATCTTGTGAAGTTACTCTCCCTCTGAGTCGCTTATTGGCTTATATTGTGAGGAGATTTTGCTATTTGCAATTTGGATTTCGCCCTATCAGTGAACCAGTGTGTCTCTTCAAATAATTCATGTAATCGAGATGAATTAAAGGACTTCTTACCTTGCGTTCTGTATCTTTTCAGTGCAAGTGTATGTGGACTGTTTAGCACACGCTACTGAACCATTTGAAACTCCGGCAAACGTCTAAAGTGATGTAATCCTACGAAGGTTTTTTGGGCTGGAATCCCACACTGTCACTGTACCATTGGGGTCCATATTAGGCACAATCTTGGTTTTATTGGAAGCAATTGTTGTACACTCACCTTAATCTAATTAGTTTGTTGCGACACCCAATGGTCGACGCTTTGTACCAACGGCACCAGGAGTTCAGCACCTTCTAGGGCTTAAGCCAAAATGAACAAAATCCACCGAGTCTACTCAAGCATGACTTTTCCACAGACAAGGTACCTCTTTATAAAATGTTCCATCAGACTTAACTAACTAACTGTTTCCAAGAACGTGCTCAGGCATGATATGAACACTTTGATTAGGGAAGGGCGCAGACGCAGATTCTGGCAGTACACTGGGACCCCTTCCATGCGCGGACTTAATGCATTGGGCCTAAATGGTTGTCGTTCACAAAAAATTGATTCTAACCGCATCCGCACATGACGTTTATGAAAGCAGCAAGTCAGAATTCGTGGGGATTAAGCGGAGGAACTCTAATTTCTCTCGTTCCCAGTGAAACAATGGGATACAAGCCCACCCGCTTATTTTTATCACCGTCTGTTCACTCATTCTCTCACTTCTTTACACAGTCGATGGGACGAGACTTTCCGTTATTATAGCATTCCCCCGACCACGTTCGTACTGAAATGATCTACCAACTATCAACATTCCAGACAACAAACCAGGCTGCATTTTCCGCCCGAAACCGACAAAAACAACGAGAAACTTTCGAATGGGGAGTATTTCTCTGGGACGAACTCTCCGATAATGCTATGGCAAGCAAGTCATTATCCCCAGGTAGATTAAATCTAAATGAAATGTTAGTCGAACACGTCGATTTCATGTCTGCAGGACGAGATATTTTCTGGGAAGTTCAAACGTAGCGAAAAGGACTAAATGAGAACCTAATAATAAAGAATGCTCAACGAGAAATACACTCATTTGCAAGGCAATTTGGTTTTCACGAGAGACTCAAATGAATCTACATTCTACAACTGAATGTGCTGCACACAGGCCGCCTCATGTTTCAGTTGGCACGATATTCGAGATATCGCAGTATATTTTCATAAAGGAAACTACTCACAAGTTTGCTGAAAACTCTTCGACAGCCCACGAACGGTTTCGCAAATGAGTGTATTTCTCGAAAGCAGTCCAATTTGGGATCAAGTAGAACATGAGGTTGACGGAAACTCGGGGACTGCGCCTACCTGATGAGCCCCGAGAGGTGCGAAACCGATCATGGGCTTACGAAGAGTTTTCAGCAACCTTGTGAGTAGTTTCCTTTATGAAAAGAACGCTTACTAATACGATCAGTGTGATTGAACTCGGTGGGAAAGCGCTCCCACGATTTATCTGCTACTGGTGGTAAATTTAGCCAGCGTCGCATGGAAAGAAAACACTTCTCATGTTGCCTATATGGAATCACAAGCTTCCATCAATCGTAGACTCAATTAATTCCCACAAATGGCAAGGTGGTGAGGAAATATGCGATTCTTCAACCGCTCGTGGCCGAACGGTCAAGAGTTCAAACTTGTAGCCGGGAGGTCACGGGTTCCAGTTTCGTCAGATTCGCGCTGCTGATTATTCCCAATAGGGATGAAACGGCAGAATTGTGCTTCTCAACTTTTCAGCATATATTGGCTTCACCACAAGACAAATATACTTCCAAAATCTCCTCACACTAGCAACACCATTACTGCCTGCAAGAGGGCTTGCCTGCCTTGGAAGGAATATCTTGAGGGGATTGTTGTGTGCCGAAAGTTTGTTGCTGACACCAAATTGAATGTTGTAGCTCGTGTGGATGTATTATCTGAATTCCCGGTAGTATAGCGAAGGTCGGTAAAAGTTTGGAGCCGATCAGAATTGTGTAGCATTCTCATCCTTGTTCGGAATCATAGCCACCTCATCGAACTCCAGGGGGTTTCGAACATGAGACATCCCGGTTAGTATTTGAAGACTAAACCGCCTGCCCAAGAGCGGGTGATCAGCAATGTGATTCCATCCTACTGAGAAAGAATATAGCGCCATCCGTGCTTCAATCACGGAAATCGCGTCAAGTGGTCACGTGTCAGCTGACTCCTCGAGTGACGAATTCACAGCTTTCAGCCTCGCTAATCCTCTGATTCGTCCTCCTTCTGTGTATGTGCATTGCAGATGAAGGGATGCTCCACTATTCGCGTGAACGTTTTATCTGAAAGGTCATTTACTCGAGGATCCAGACAATGCGTGATCACCTGATACGAATCCCGTGACTGAAGGACGAATGGGGCTATATACTGTACTATACTATACTGCACTATACTATACTATATATACTATGCTATACTATAATACACTATACTATACTATACTATACTATACTATACTATACTATACTATA